AACTAGAACTCAATCACAAGAGGAAAGTCGGAAAGAACTCAAATCCATGGAGGCTAAAGAGCATCCTACTAAAGAATGAATGGGTCAACCAGGAAATTAAAGAGGAATTTAAAAAATTCATGGAAACCAATGAAAATGAAAATACAACTGTTCAAAATCTTTGGGATACAGCAAAGGCAGTCCTGAGAGGAAAGTATATAGCAATACAAGCGTTTCTCAAGAAACAAGAAAGGTCTCAAAAACACAACCTAACCCTACACCTAAAGGAGCTGGAGAAAGAACAGCAAATAAAGCCTAAACCCAGCAGGAGAAGAGAAATCATAAAGATCAGAGCAGAAATCAATAAACTAGAAACCAAAAGAACAGTAGAACAGATCAACGAAACTAGGAGCTGGTTCTTTGAAAGAATTAACAAGATTGATAAACCCCTGGTCAGACTGATCAAAAAGAAAAGAGAAATGACCCAAATCAACAAAATCATGAATGAAAGAGGAGAGATCACAACCAACAACAAAGAACTACAAACAATTATAAGAACATATTATGAGCAACTTAGGCCAGCAAATTAGATAACCTGGAAGAAATGGGTGCATTCCTAGAGATGTATCAACTACCAAAATTGAACCAGGAAGAAATAGAAAACCTGAACAGACCTATAACCACTAAGGAAATTGAAGGAGTCATCAAAAATCTCCCAAGAACCAAAAGCCTGAGGCCAGATGGCTTCCCAGGGGAATTCTATCAGACATTTAAAGAAGAATTAATACCTATTCTCCTGAAACTGTTCCAAAAAATAGAAATGGAAGGAAAACTTCCAAATTCATTTTATGAGGCCAGCATTACCTTGATCCCAAAACCAGACAAAGACCCCATCAAAAAGGAGAATTACAGACCAATATCCTTGATGAACATGGATGCAAAAATTCTCACCAAAATACTAGCCAATAGAATCCATCAGTACATTAAAAGGATTATTCACCACGACCAAGTGGGATTTATCCCTGGGCTGCAAGGATGGTTCAACATCCGCAAATCAATCAACGTGATACAATACATTAACAAAAGAAAGAACAAGAATCATATGATCCTCTCAATAGATGCAGAAAAAGAATTTGACAAAGTACAGCATCCTTTCTTGATCAAAACTCTTCCGAGTATAGGGATAGAGGGTACATACCTCAATATCATAAAAGCCATCTATGAAAAACCTACAGCGAATATCATTCTCAATATCATTCTCAGGAATGCGGCAGGGATGTCCACTATCACCACTGCCATTCAACATAGTATTAGAAGTCCTAGCCACAGCAATCAGACAACAAAAAGAAATCAAAGGCATCCAAATCGGCAAAGAGGAAGTCAAACTCTCACTCTTTGCAGATGATATGATACTGTGTGTGGAAAACCCAAAAGACTCCACCCCAAAACTGCTAGAACTCATGCAGGAATTCAGTAAAGTAGCAGGCTATAAAATCAATGCACAGAAATCAGTGGCATTCCTATACACCAACAACAAGACAGAAGAGAGACAAATCAAGGAGTCGATCCCATTTACAATTGCACCCAAAACCATAAGATACCTAGGAATAAATTTAACCAAAGAGGCAAAGGATCTGTACTCAGAAAACTATAAAATACTCATGAAAGAAATTGAAGAAGACACAAAGAAATGGAAAAATGTTCCATGCTCATGGATTGGGAGAACCAACATTGTGAAGATGTCAATGCTACCTACAGCAATCTACACATTCAATGCAATCCCCATCAAAATACTATCCACTTTTTTCAAAGAAATGGAACAAATAATCCTAAAGTTTGTATGGAACCAGAAGAGACCCCGAATAGCCAGAGGAATATTGAAAAAGAAAAGCAAAGCTGGCGGCATCACAATTCCGGACTTCCAGCTCTATTACAAAGCTGTCATCATCAAGACAGTATGGTACTGGCACAAAGACAGACACATAGATCAATGGAACAGAATCGAGAGCCCAGAAATGGACCCTCAACTCTGGTCAACTTATCTTTGACAAAGCAGGAAAGAATGTCCAATGGCAAAAAGACAGTCTCTTCAACAAATGGTGTTGGGAAAATTGGACAGCCACATGCAGAAGAATGAAACTGGACCATTTCCTTACACCACACACAAAAATAGACTCCAAATGGTTGAAAGACCTAAACGTGAGACAGGAGTCCATCCAAATCCTAAAGGAGAACACAGGTAGCAACCTCTTCGACCTCCATCGCAGCAACTTCTTCCTAGAAACATCGCCAAAGGCAAGGGAAGCAAGGGCAGAAATGAACTATTGGGATTTCATCAAGATAAAAAGCTTTTGCACAGCAAAAGAAACAGTCCACAAAACCAAAAGACAACCGAAAGAATGGGAGAAAATATTTGCAAATGACATATCAGATAAAGGGCTAGTATCCAAAATCTATAAAGAACTTATCAAACTCAACACCCAAAGAACAAATAATCCAATCAAGAAATGGGCAAAAGACATGAACAGACATTTTTCCAAAGACATCCAAATGGCCAATAGACACATGAAAAAGTGCTCAACATCGCTCGGCATCAGGGAAATCCAAATCAAAACCTCAATGAGATACCACCTCACACCAGTCAGAATGGCTAAAATTAACAAGTCAGGAAACGACAGATGTTGGCGGGGATGTGGAGAAAGGGGAACCCTCCTACACTGTTGGTGGGAATGCAAGCTGGTGCAACCCCTCTGGAAAACAGTATGGAGGTTCCTCAAACAGTTGAAAATAGAGCTACCATACGATCCAGCAATTGCACTACTGGGTATTTACCCCAAAGATACAAATGTAGGGATCCGAAGGGGTACGTGCACCCCAATGTTTATAGCAGCAATGTCCACAATAGCCAAACTGTGGAAAGAGCCAAGATGTCCATTGACAGATGAATGGATAAAGAAGAAGTGGTATATATACACAATGGAATATTATGCAGCCATCAAAAGGAATTAGATCTTGCCATTGGCAACGACGTGGATGGAACTGGAGGGTGTTATGCTGAGTGAAATAAGTCAATCAGAGAAAGACACGTATCATATGACCTCACTGATATAAGGAATTCTTAATCTCAGGAAACAAACTGAGTGTTGCTGGAGTGGTGGGGGGTGGGAGGGATGGGGTGGCTGGGTGACAGACAGTGGGGAGGGTATGTGCTATGGTGAGTGCTGTGAATTTTGCAAGACTGTTGAGTCGCAGATCTGTACTTCTGTGACAAATAATGCAACATATGTTAAGAAAAAAGAAAAAGAAGAAAATAGCAGGAGGGGAAGAATGAGGGGGAGTAAGTCAGAGGGGGAGACGAACCATGAGAGACAATGGACTCTGAAAAACAAACTGAAGGTTCTAGAGGGGAGGAAGGTGGGGGGATGGGTTAGCCTGGTGATGGGTATTCAAGGGGGCACGTTCTGCATGGAGCACTGGGTGTTATGGACAACAATGAATCATGGAACACTACATCCAAAACTAATGATGTAATATATGGTGATTAACATAACAATAAAAAAGGCAATGGGGAGGTGCAGAGCCGACACACAAGTGGAGTTGCATGTTACTGTGGTGTGGACAATGACAAGGAGGAGTCAAGAAAGATGTAGGGAGACTAACTGATGGTTCAATAATCCAGGTAAGAGAAAAGAGTGGCCTAAAGAGGGAGAAAAGAGTGGCCTAAAGAGGAAGATAAGTGGGCATATTCCACAGATACTCAGGAAGCAAAATCAACAGGACTGGGTGAATGACTGGTTAGGGCTGTGTGAAGGAGACACAGTGGTTTCAGTCTAGGACCACAGGGGAGATAATGCTGTATTCACTAAGCTAAGGTATTCAGGAAGAAAAGGTCCAAAGTTACAGTTAGATTTGGAGGAGAGACAATGACTGCAGTTTGGAAAAGGCTGATTACAACCTGAAGGATTCCCTGTGCTGTGTGCTGCTTGTAAGGTCTCAGATCTAACGCACTTAATCTCCCTGGGTGTCAGCTGCTGCATCCTGACGGGACCAAATAAGCTCTAGCATCACTGACTGCTCCAAAATCCCGCTTTACAATCTCAGAGTGGTCGGTAGCCTAGTTCACTGGAGGGATGCTGCAGTCAGCCTGCATCCGGAGTGACGGAGGAGCAGGCCTCAAGGCAGCCATCCACCTCAGTTTCCTGGCAAAATCCAGCAACAAAACTTTTGGACACTTTACTAGCCTTGAAACATGTCTGCTCGCCAGAACTTCTCTGCTACCTCAACCTTCATTTCCTTTGGTCTGTGAAGTACTTTCCTTCCCTGCATGGGGAACGCTGTGCTGGTGGTCCCTACTAATCTTCCTCCTCCAAGGCCTGACCCCCTTATCTCTGCCCTGGGCATATAAAGAGTGATTTCATTCTCCCCTTGATCCCTGGAAATATTAAAGAACAGCAGACCACTCACGGAGGAAACCTAGGATGACAAAGAGCTGCTGATTTTTTTCTCCTTCTGTCAAACTCATATAATTTTACTAATTTTTTGCTTTTCCTATTGTACGAGGAACTAGGTTTCTACTCATTTCACTTAAAAAAAAACAAAAAACAAAAAACAAAAAACTGTTGCTCAGGAGCAAACTATAAAATGCTTACCTGTGGAGAAGAAAACATGTCACCTAGCCAAGATAACTAGTATTAATAGGTTGGGTGTATGTATACAAGTTTTTTTTTTCCCGTAAAAAACTAAACAGATAATTCAGTATATACTTTTACAGCTTGCTTTTTCATTTATGATTCTTTTGGAGCCCCATCTTTAAGTGTGAGTCTCCCATCACTAAAGTAACCACTTGCTAGACACCCAGGCAGACACCAAGAGTCTGGATCAGGAGAGTTGCCAGGTCACCACCCCCTTCCATTTCAGCAGGAGGTCAGTTAGAGCCTAAAGAGCCACAACCCAAGACCTCACTTGCAAAGCTGCCCTGTGTGGTGTGACGTGGGCATTACAGAAGTGGTGGGATTAATTACCTGAGTTTTAGCTGGGACCGCACCTCTCCGAACTCCAGCTGGAGCAGTTCATTGTAACAGGCCATGAGGCTGGGGTTTTCCACATACCTCTACAAAGAGAAGGGAGTTGTTGTGGATAAACAAATGTGCATCTTTAAATTAATATGTTATCAATAAAAGTAACTTTTCAACAGACTTTTCAAGCGGGTAACCGAAATCTAAAAAATACATCATCTTTAGTGATAAACAAGAACTGAGAGATGAAAACCTGTGGGTATCAAATTAACTTTTAAGAAGGCAGGGCTTAAGAATGCTTTGTTTGAGGTAAGAGGATTTTGGTTGTCTGCATGTCACTATCGGAGGCTAGAATATGTAGAAGGAAGAAATTTATTAAAGTCCTATTTATATTAACTTCCAGAGTATATTCCCTTATTCAAGCACAGTGTGCCGTCCTCCTTACAGCTGTTCAAGCTCATAGTAAGCAAACACACGCTTGCACTTCTCTTTGCACCAGTATTTCACAAAGACAACCCCCACTCAGGCAATATTTTTCTACACTCACCTCTAATCACAGCTCAACCAAGCCATCAAAGGATGGCCCTCCATGTGAGAGGTGCTGGCAGAGCCATGGCTTTGCCCAGCAACTCTTACTGCTGTGGACAATGACTACCTCGTATAATAACATTTACATAAAGGAAGTACCGCACCACAAAGCAAATTACGCAGTTCTGAGAAGCGTGGACCCATTCCACCACCAAATTATGGATTCCACAAAGACATCTCAGAACTCACTGTGTTCTGTCACATGGTTCCATTCAGGCAGAAGAAATATCTGGGAACATTTACTCACCCCTATTTCTATGACCGGCGCTCACTTTCACTTGCTCAATGCATGGCTGATACTCTAACGGAGAGGCGGCGGCTGAGGCTGAAGAGGCAGGGCAGGGCCTCTACGGGCCACCACCTCCAAGCCAACGCCAGACCTATCTGCAACATGGGCCCCTCAGAGAGCTCTTGCCTTTGCCACAATGAAGGTGAATAGCCCCCCATTTAAACAGTGATCAGGATCTTGTCTGAGTGTCAAGCAAGCTAATAACCCAGCCCCAGGTTCATGCCTTATAAACCATATGACCCTAAATGAGGCCCCCAACCCTCCTGGGCTGGCTTCCCCACTTGCAGAACAAGACTATCCTGCTCGTAGCTACCGTGGATGACCATGAGAACCGAGTGAGGCAGCGGGCAAAAGCTCTCTAACTGCAGACTGCTGTGTCCCTGGGAGGGGAGGGCGGAAGGCAAGGATGGCTGGCCATGGGCGTGGTGGTCCCTAACCCACAGGCCAACACATAGCCCTTCTCACTCACAGAAGTCAGAGAGGTGCCAGGCCTACAAGCTCTCACCTACTGAGAGAGGAGGAGGGCGCTGGCCCAGCCCTCCGTTCCTGGTCAGCCCCGACTCCACAGAACCCTGGAGAAGGCTGTCCACCCGCAAGGGCGCCTACTGCTGACCGGGCAGGAACAGGGAGAGATTCCTGGGCACAGCGCTTGTGCCACTGCCAGCAGACAAGGGGCTGGGGACTGGCGCTGTCCAAGGGCCTGGCTGGCCTCACCAGCTCTGCAGGTGAGATCCTGGGATGTGGAGACGTGTGAATTTATAAATGGCCTCCCAGGCACGCAACCAGATTTTTCACTGGGTATGAATGTGTATATCCAAACTTCTTTACTCCAAAGGCAGACATCGAAATTACAAAATAAGCACATGGGACCCAATATAGAACATCTTGCCCCTGCTTTCTGCCCCTCCCTCGCTACTTCTGCTCTGCTTCGGAACATCCAGTCTTCCCAGCCCTTCTCCAAGTATGTCCCAAAGATTCCACGAGGCATGGAGGGCAGAGAAGGGCACCGGGTCCAGGGACGCTTGGTAATCAGCTGTGCCGCTCCTACTCCTTTGACAGCAGCTAGCCTCCTCTCCCTACCCCATCCCACCAGGGGGGCCAGGCCACAAATCCTATGGACTCCTGAGCTGACTCAACCTTGCTTTCCCAGAGCCTTTATCACGCCCACTTTGCTGGGCCCCACCTGGTGGTTCTCAACCCTGGGCTGCTATTAGAATTACCTGCAATCTTACAAACTAATACCAATGTGCAGGTCCCTCCCAACACCACCTGAAAGAGACTCTCTAAGGAAGCTTTTCAGGGGATTCTCACGCACAACCAGCACTGAGATACACCAAGCCTGAACCTTTCAGATGTTAGTCAGCAAATGCTTGGCTGCCACCAGGTCCAACTGAGGAAGCAAGCAGGTCTCCATCCATCCTGAAATCCTGAACGATGGCGCTAACTCATAAAATAGTTGACTGCCCGCTCGAGACCAGAGACCCCACTGCAGGGTTGGCTTTTAGGTCTAGGGCTGACTCAGGCGTTGGCACCACTGCCTACCAGCCATGGGACTTGGGAGAGTCACCGTGCCCTCTGTCACCTCAGTATCCTGTTGGTACGTGAAGGTATGGGACTCTGCTTAAAGGAAGATTAGTTTTCACTTGTGGTCTCTGAGGACTGGCCATCCACTTGAATTCATCATCTACATAATGGTGAGCCTGCTGCTCCCTCCTTATTTGCCAGGTCATGTCTCTCTACAATGACTACTTTAAAGCTTCTGTACTTGGGGACATGCATTCGAGAGTGGTTCTAGCAAAGGCTTCAGAGGACCCCTTGACTGAGTGTGTGGGTGAGAGGGCGGAGAATGTGTGCATCAGCCGCTCTTGCATTTTCAAGTCAGCTTCATGATAGCTCGATTATACTAAGAAAATAGAAGGACTGAGGTGTGCTATCCCTTCTGCCAGGATGCTCTCTCCAGTCCACACAGCTGTGCCAGGGTGCTGCCTTGTGGGGAACTCCCAGCACCCATCTATGCCCTTTCAAAGAGACCTCATACAAACATAAAGCTTCATGTCTTCTGGTGGCTGTCGGTAAGCAAAGAATCCAAGGAGGGCACATCATCTATCCCCAAGTTTCACAAGAAAGTGGAAGCTTCAGAGGTCCTTGCTAAAAAACAATTTTTAAAAATAGCCAGTTTTGAAGCTCAAAATAATAACATAAAGATTTTCAAAGTTAGCTGGGGCAGTTCTTCTCCTTGTGTGAATGCTTTGCCCAGTAGGTTGGAGGTCGGGTATGACCTAGGATCCACCAGCAAGAGGTGATCCACAGCTTCGCACCCCAGACTCTGTACTTACAGCAACACTCACCTTCACACTGGCTGACTTGGGCTGTTCTCAGACAACTTAGTATGGATTCCTGGAGGTGAGGCAATGGGGGCAGGTGTTGATACGGGTGTATGTTTTGGGGGTTGTTAAAAAAAAAGGGGGGGAACCACAAAACCAATAATATTCTAATGTGTGCTTTTTATATAACTGTGCGTGTGTAAGCTCCGTGTTACTGGATAACACTGTGCATGTGTAAGCTCCGTATTATTATTGGAATTTCTGTGCCCTTTTTGTCTGCATTTACTTGCTACCTTTGTTCATTTATTACTAAGCTTTTATCACTTTGTCTTAGAAATGTCATATAACTACACTTCATAACCCAGTCCAGCAGCATATCTTTTAAAAAATGGGAGAAATTAGTCCATCCACATGCATTTGATTTTACTCCTTCTATCTTGCTGCGTCTTCAAGACTGGTTTCACACTGCTGCTGCTTCTTCCTTGTCAGCCAGTTTGACCAAGTTGCTATAAATTTCACAGTTCCTCTTGTGAATTTGGAAGGTTTGTTAAACTTTTCTATTAATGGTTACCTTCCTTCTCACTGACCTCAAAGGCCGACACAGATTCCTCTACTACTATTTGAAAACAAGATGCCAATCACCCCCAGAATCTACTACCTCCCAGAGAACAAATGTTCTGTCTGCACATTTCCCAGATGAACACTTCGGAATACTTTCATTGCCTGCTCTGCCCCCACCCTCCGTTTGCTAGATAAAGCCCTGAGAATGCTTTTACCTCCACCTCCTCCCCACAAAACTTGAAAACGCCTATGTTTGCTAAGAGAGTCTAGCATTTAAAGACCTATTCAAATTTTTCTTTTGGTGTGTCCCCTCTGTTTTTCCTTTTAGGTCTAACATGACGCCTAGATAGATAGAGATCATATTCGACTTACATTTCGTACGTCCTCTAACTATAAACAAAGCTCTACTGCAGGTTATTCGTGCACGCGCAGGGGTGGAAGGGCAGGCCGCAGAGACGGGGAGGTGGCAGGCGGGCACGTGTGCACGGCAGGTTCGCAGCTCCCCACTTCCCTCTACGTCATCCCTCCTCCCTCCCCTTCAAGTTTCTGTTCGAGTTCATCTGTTTTATCAGTGGGGTCCTTTCTCAATTCTTTGCCTCAGACAGGACACTTGGGGAAACAAGACTCTGAATTTTATGCCCTGAAAGGTTAACAAGGACTCGGCTGCGCACCCTGCTCCTGCTGTCATCTCTAATCAGACTACACATTACCAGGACTGTTTTATACTGTAACTGTGTGCTTATATTTACCCCCATGTTCAGCAATTTCTGGCTTCATTCCTTCTTGCATTTCCAAGACTTTCACTTGGGAATCACCTCCTTCTGCTTGAAGCACACCCCGTACCAACTCTTTCCACTTCCATATTGCTGAAAGTGTGTCAGCCTCCTCCTTGAAAATCTTCCTGCTGGGGTTACCACTCTAGGTGAGCAGTTATTTTATCCCATTCAGAGTATTATCCCACTGTTTTCTATTTTCCATTTATCACTGCTGAGAAGCTAACCGTTAGTCATCCTTCTTCTGAAGGTCATCTTTTCTTTCTGGTGAGATTTTCACTATGATGTGTCTTCTTTTTATTTACTCTTCTTTGGATTTGCTGGAATTTCTGAATCTGTGGACTATAGTCTTTCATCAGTTCTGGAAAATTCTCTTCAAGCATCACTCTGCCCCGTTCTCTCTCCTGTCCTCCTGGAACTCCAGTCACATATACGCTGAACTCTACACTCTATCCTCCACACTTCTTAACCTCCCTTATTTTCTATTATTGAATCTCTGTGTTACATGCTGGATAATTTCTTCAGACCCACTACGTTTTAAAATTTTCAGTTATAATGTGGTCATTTCTCAAAATTCACTTATGTTCTGCCTAGAATTGGCTGTGTCACTTTTTATAGTTTTCCCATTTCTTGCAGACATTTGCAAGCTTGTCTTTTATTCTTTACATATAATAAGCATAATCCCTTTATAATTCAAGTCTGATGATTCTGGTGCCTGTGGGCCGTGAGGGTGTTCTTGCTGTCCTTCTCCCACTAGCTCTCACTTGCAATGCCTCATCTGTGGCCTGGTCAGCTTCCATGCTGCCTGCTGCCTTTGAGCAATTACTTGCAGAGATTCTCTGAGGCCAGAAATAAAGGTGTCTTGCTCTGGAGAAGATCTGTATTCGCTTCTGCCAGGTACCCAGGAATACGACCTACCACCTAGAACCACTTTAAACTAAATTTGTGGCTTGGGGTGTCTTGACTACCTCCCAGATATAAATTTAGGCCACAAATCTGCCCCAGGATCAGCCTTACATAAATTCTCTCCATTGTGACTCCCAAGGCTCACTGGCAACCAGCTGACCAAAGCCTTTAGAAGCCTTTTGGCTTAGGGAAAACCAACAGATCGGTGCTGAGGATGGAGAGGGAGTCATGTTTGGGCTGCCTCATTTCCAGAATCCTTGCTGCCTTTCAAGTTGCACGTATACATGTCAGCGTTACAACAACATCTCGTGTGGCATAACTCTTAATAAGTATGCCATTAAAGGAGATTTTATGATGTTTAGATGACTTTGGCAGGCATAATTTTGAGAGAGCAAAAACGTAAAATGTTGTAGATTATTAAGATTACCAAGTTCTAAAGTTAAACTACACTGTAACAGCACAAGGACAACAAAGTTTTTTCTTCAAATGAATTCAAAACTTTTGCTGGCTCTCAACAGAGATAAAATGTAATTTCTCAGGCTGAATTATATTGCATAACAAAGAAGTGGGTACAAACCCTTGTAAAGCCAGCAGCAATGAGGGGCATCACAGATGACTCTTCTCTATCCGTCCTTCAAAAGAACATAGTAAAGGGTTAGAGACCGTTTTTATCAATTACAGCTCACCTCTAACTTTTCACTAATTTATGTAATACTAGGACGATCATATGTTAAATACCTTTTGATGAATTCGATTAATATACCAACCAGAAGTGTAAAATTGAAAATAGTTTTCTGTTTTAGTTCTGAATGTCACTTTCTGGCAATGCTTGAAATATGGAGATTCTGCACTAACAGCCAGAATACAGAAGTAACCACATACCTATTTGATATGTAAAAATTTTAATTTAAATTCTTCCCCATTTTCTTCTACTTGCATTTCTTAAAAAAAAAAAAAAAAAAAAGTCTTTTCTCCCCTGAAAGCTCTGGAAAAAAGTTTAAAGGACAAAGAATCCTTTCTTCTATCTACAAAAGTATATAAGCTAAATAACATTTGAATACTGCCCTTCTCCTAACATATTTCTCTTCTTTGCTTACCTCCAATTTCCCCCGTTTATATATGAATCAAACCTTTGTAGATACTTGGGAGTCAGAAAGCCCTTGGGAGGCATCCATGGATAACATTTGTACTTTTAGGAATGGAAGTCTCTCATGGTTTGCCTATTTCTAAAGTGAATGGCAGTCCAAAATCCCAAACCCCACATGAGAGCAGAAACTCCCACCAGGGAGTTAACTGGTGAAGTGAAAGAAAATAAGAAGAAAATGCTAAACTAAAAAGAGTCACACCTACAAGCTCTTAGGCCCCTGCTAAGAGCAAGCTTAACATTGACACCTGAACTTCAACATCAAAAAAAATGAGAGCTTACCTGCGTACTACACCAATAATAACTGTGTTTTCAGAGAGTTTTGATGATCTAATAGACCTTTAAAAAAAAAAACTTTTTTTAAATAAATGTAAAGCAATTCTTTAAAAAATATCTAAATACACTCAATCTTGGTAGAACAATTAAAGTTGGGGAGAGGTAGAAGAGGGAGCAAGTCATACTCTGGATTTACCTTCTCGGCTACTTGATCTTCCTCCCTCCAGGGCACAAGCTCCACTCAGCAGACAAGTAATCCTAACGCTCATGGAGTGCAAACCTAACAGCTGGCTGAGACGGTGAGCCTGCTACTCATTGTGGCTTTTGTTAATCCAAGCGGCCTCAGGTGGAGAACGTTCCTTACCTTGGGCTTACGTGACTGGGGTTATCTGTCTCTCCCTGCCAAAGGGAAATGTGAGTACATGTGTGTTACTGCAAGCTGATGGCCACGGTTACAGTGCGGACAAAGCCCAAAGGTCAGCTCCCTAAGCTGTATAAACAAAGAGTTCCTAGGTAGGCAAAAGCAGTAGCAACAGAAATTCAAAACTAGGAAATGCAAGATATTCTAACCCATCAGAAAGAAGAGAATCGCCACCTGACAGAAACAGGTAAGAATGGCAGACTGGTCAGGAGACGTGGGGGACGCTGCCCCACTGAAATCTCCCGTGGGGTACGAGGCTCCCACCGAGAGTGCATTCACCCCTTCCCAGGAACGAAAACCCAGCCAGGAGCTCAGACAGGGTAGAAGTCAACGTGACCCAGGAGAGCAGGAGGAGGAGGAATGGCTCCACTGGAGATGTACGGCAGCTCACCCTACCTTGGACCGGGGCGGGGGGCGGGGGGCGGTGGCATGCAGGACTCCGGAGGAGTTTCAGAGCCTTGCCACAGGAAGAGGGGGAAGGCAGCCCTGGGCTGAAAGGAAGACACTCACGCAGGACGGTGGCTCCAGCAAGAGAACGGAGCGACCTTTCCCAGACGGCCCCAGCCATGTCAGAAGTGTGCTGGCCTCCTAGAGAATGTGTCGGGGATGGGACAGAGAGCAGCTAAGACTTACTGCATGACTTCCGTTCTGTTAGTTCAAGAAACAGAACCACTTCTGAGTCACAGAACACAGAGAATCATCTGCGTGACTCTTTCTCAATTCTCCCAAGGATGGTACCTAATGTAGCCTTCCCAGACCCATCAGAGGACGTCAATTCAGCATACACAATGGATACCTCAGTTTGGCAAACTTTTTCTGTAAAGGGCCAGATGGCAAGTGTTTCAGGCTTTGTGAGCCAGGCAGACTCTGTCACAACCACTCCACTCTGCCACTGTAGCGTGAAAGCAGCCACAGACGATGTCTAAACGAACGGCGTGGCTGTGTTCCCCCTGGTGCAGCCCTGCCTCACAGCACTAGGGCTTCATTTTCTCAAGGCTGGGTCTCACGACAGGCGCAGACTGGATGTGGGGAACAGAAGTGGCTCAGGGATGGATGCGCAGCTCCAGGGATGAGCCAGTCGCTCTCATGGGCCGCGCAGCTCCCACCTCTCTCTCCGTGTTGCTGCTTTCCCTAGTGTCCAGTCCATTCCTCCAGCTCCTGCCTGCCTGTCCATATCAGAGGCCAACCACAAGGATGCTGTACTGGAAGAGCCCTCCCAACAGGTCACTGCGGATCTGCCGACAGGTGCCAGTGCCCGGTTCCCCCAGGGCCTCCCTGCCTGGAGAACAGCCGCACTCACCTGCCTGGAGTGGGGCCACGGGGAGGGCTGTCCTAGCGTGGAAGGGTGACTGGCACAGCGGACACTCACAAAGACAAGGCCAGCTCACTTCTCAAAACTGTGGGCTGCTACTGAGCCTAGCACAGATCTTACCCGGGGAGAGACAGGCGCCCACAAACAGTATTTCCGTGACTTCTGAGGGCACCGTACTTATTCTTGTGTTCATATTTCTGTCGTATCATAAAGATCTCAAGAAAGAAAAAGGCAAACTTAAGTATGCAGTCAGCTATCTCAAACCAGTTCTCATCTTTTTAGAAGAAAAACAGAGATCTAAGTGGTATAAATAGCAGGCAGGTAACTGTGCGGATACACTCAGGAAGTCATTTTGGATGACTTACTCGGGACACAGGAATGAGGGTGGGCACTGGGCAAAGGACAAAGCAGAAGGGAAGGCCATGTTTACCCGGAAACAAGTTGATACCCGCAAAGGAGGGCTAACACTGGATGAAAAGGCAGAGGTGTACTCCTGACTTTTTCTGGTCCATAAGGGGGAAGAACAGACTAGAAAATAGAAATGTAAGGAAACTGGGTTGGAAAAAAAAAAAAAACATACCCTTTACTTCAGATTCAGTAAAATGAAGAAAGAAATAACTTGGCATCATCAAAATGTATACCCAGACGTTAGGAAGGCAGGTTTCGAGAAGTCAGAGAAAAGAGAGGGCACGCATCTCTAGCACGAGATTCTGAAAGACCGTGTGAGCACTCTGGGAAGCTCTCACAGCAATGCTGGCTGGTTAGCACCAGGTTTGTGCATAAGAGAAAATTCCACACAACAGTGGCTTAAGCAAGATTCTTCTTCCACATAAAAGACACGCAGAGGCATGCGGTCCAAGGCTGTGACGGCACACGGCAGCATCAGGAGCCTGACGCCTTCCAGGTTTCCCAATTCTTGCCTCCACAGGGTTTCTTCCTCGTGGTCCAAGACGGAGGCTACACTCTAAGCCACAACACCCACGTTCTAGACAGCAGAATACTTTCCAGAAGATGCACAGGACATTCCCACTGGCCAGCTGCAAGAAAAGCTGGATTGGAATGCGTGCATTTTCTAGGTGGCCAGAGGCCCAGCTAAACACTAAAAATTCTGTTATTAGGAAAGAGTAGAAGTAGGTATAGGGGGCAACTACCATTCTCCAGACACACTGGCAACTACAAATAAATCTGATGATGGTCTCAACACAACTCCGGAAGAAAGGCCAGGGGACAGAGGCTTACTCCAAGAGCCCGGCAAAGCCCTTCAGTTGAGTCACATTTTACAACAACTCCATTACTTGCACTTCACCACTGTTCCCTCCGCCGTGTGGAAAGAGTTTTGGATGGAAAAGAATGGAATTTACAGTGGAAAAAAGAGTCGCAGACCGAGGTGAATCCAGAGATGGTTGAAGGTGTCCGGCACCCGAGTTGAGTCTTGCTCCTGCATTCAACCTAGATCTAATTCTGCTGGTGCCCTCTGGGCTCCCATGCAGGGCTTTATTTCCTTCACCTCCCTTTATCAAGTCTTCCCTTTCATGACAGAGCCCTGCTCCTGGTGCACAAAGGAACAGTTCTTCATTTCTTTTGAGTACCCTAGGCACTCAGAAGGCACTTTCTTGTGGTGAATCATTTTCTTAGTCTTTAAGGCTATTCTTTCCCCTCTGTTATCTGGCAGCTTTTTACAGACCTTTATCCTGGTCATTCATCCTTGAAGGGAAGCAAGATCAACCCCGTCGGGAGCCTGCAGCAGAGAGGGTCACAGAAGCCTCCCTTGCACACCTTTGCTAGGCCCTTGGCATGGGCGGCCCTCCTCCTCTTCGGTCTGGGCCTGCAGATCAAGTCAGCAGATGTGAGTTCCTGCTCAGAGAGCACGGCCAGCAGACCGGCAGAGGTGAGCTGCACACAGTGCACTCCCGGCTGGCTCTCTCCGCTCTCTAACTAAACCTGAGAACTGATGCACTCTGCTGTTCTGAAACTGTAACACGTGAAGGACTGCTCTCACACTCCTTAGGCTTCTGCCATTCCTCACAACATGGTAGAAAAACCCAGGTCTCTGTCCATCTCCCTCTGCTCTAGGTCTTGGGGATCCCAGGGGACAAGGAAGTAGAGAATGAGGAGGCAGCAGGGACTGGGGGGCTGCGGGCAGGGCTCTGGCGCTCAGCTAAGGCAGAGTCGTCTGTTTCTCTGGTCAGCACAACTCCAGCGTCCCAGGCTCAGCACGACCGTGGCAGCAAAGCAGAGCCTCTTTCCATCTCCTTCCTTTAGGTTCATTTGGTACTTCAGCTTCAGAGACTGAAGTATGTGGAGGACGTTTCAGGAGAGGGTCTTCATTAGGCCCCACGGTACAAGAGATAAAGTGGGAATCCTGGCCGCCTTCTGCTCTCCCAGCTTCTGATATAACTATCAGCTTATCTTTGGCTTCTTAATTGCTGTGGTCAGCTTTTGTCTGTTAGCTTCATGGGTTTCTTGACAGGAAGCAGGGAGGCGGCACTGTAATCAGCACAAGACGGCCTCCAACAGCCTCACAGCTGACTGACTTGCCCCGGCCCCCCTGCCCTTCTCCTCCACTCTCTAGCCAGCAGCCGCTCACCTTCCACCTGCTCCTGATGTGCCCCTGCACAGACCATGTCAGTGTCTCAACTGCCTACAGGCTGAACTCCAAGCCTGTGGCTCAGCACCTAAGGCCCTCATGATGGGGCTCCAGGCTGCTCCTCCAGCCTTCGCCAGAGCCACGTCCCATGCCTGCCCAGCCCAGCACCCATCAATACCAAGCAGAGAAGCCTGGTATACCTGCCTCTTCCTGCACATGCTGCTCCCTCTGCCTGGAATGGTTTTCCCACCTTTCTTTCTTTCAAAACTCTTACTCATCCTCTAGGACTCAACCCAAATGTCCTCTGTGCAGCTCTCCCCAACACAGGCACCTGCAGCACTTAGCATATACCTCCTCATGGGCACTTGGAGCCTGTACTGAAATCACTCACTTGCGCTGCCAACTAGAACAGTAGCTCTTCAGAGGCAAGAACCATGTCTTATTTACCTGTGGAGCTCTAGTGCCAAAGACAGTGCCCAGAACTGAGAAGACTTGCAAAGCAGTGTTCCTCAACCAGTGGATTTGGAAATATCACAGACACAGAATATTTGGCCTTCAGCAAGGCATCTGATAAGGAGTGTGAGGAGTTCCAAATGTCCCCAGTAGAGAGATACAGACGAATGCTGGTTGTTTAGATAAGTCAGCAACTGATGGAAAACCCTTCACAGGTGGTGTTGATTAGGTATCCCAAAAGCAAGAGGAAGGAAAGGACAGAGCTCTGCCAGGGCTAAGGCCTCATGAACTGTGTAAGTCAGCAGAAGGATAGAGAGCATGTGAACAAGTTCAGGAGGGAAAGCCTGGAATGACTCCTCGAAGGAACACTCCACAGTGTGCAGGTTCCCTTAAAGGGATGGAGGTAAACCAGGCACAACCAGTGATCGAGATGAAAGTGACTTAGGAAACTAAATCAGGGCCTACTCTTGCCTCTAGAAAACTCACTAACTATGGCACAAGGACCCTCCCCGCCCCAACACACAACACACACACACCCTCAGCCAACAAGATGGAGGTGATGTGGTAAAACACAGCTAGCAAGAAAAACCAGAGATTCTTGGCCAAGGCCGTGACACAGCCCTCAGGAAAGGAACATGCTCAGGGGCTGCATTTGTAATCATCTTCTCCCTGGACAGCCTAGGGGGGATGGCTATTCTGCTTACTCTTCACTGGCCCATCCAAACCTGGGCTGAGATTTTTGGTTCTGGAACCACGCTTACAAGGGCTACTGCCTGTAAGAGGACACTCAGAGGAAGCAGCCCTGACGGGGCTGGAATATGAAACCTCACTGTTAGGAGCCGCCAAGACCAGTGAGGATATGCTCCACCCAGGAAAGACCATTCCTGCCCTTGAATGCAGCAAATATGGGAAAGGGGATTAAGTTGGGCTCATCAAGAAAGAGAACTTCTGCAGCTCAGAGCTTTCCCTTGGGAACCGCCCCCCCCCCCCAACAGAGGCTGGATGTCGGGGGTGGGAACTTAGTAGAGGACATGCACACATGACAATCTATACTTCTTTAAAACCTCCTATTAAGCAACCCAGTTCACATGTTTTGATATTCTGCAAGTACTATAAACAAGGCACATTCGCCTAACATTAGAAGACAGTTTTCAATTTTTTATAACTTTAAAAACATCTGGAAAATTTCATTAGCTCCTGTTGCAGTAACATGCAGGTGACGGTTGTAGTTAGTTACAGATTGGGTTTCATTTTAACCCTTAATTTTTTTTTTTTTTAACCGTTTTAAGCAAAGCAAAGTAAAACAAAACAGAGGAAGATCAGTCCTAGAAATAATGATGTCCTTATGTCTTACTTATTTTACGTGCAAAGAAGGCAAATTAGAAGACAGTGAATTTAACCTGGTGTATTTCTGGGCTGCTCTTACTGTCACACACGCCAGTGGGGCTACTTAGGCCCGCGTCCCAGGCTCACCTGCACAGTGCCTCTGCGTCCAGCTGCCGGGGGTTTCTGTGGTCTATGATGATGATGTCATGATGTTTGTCCAGGAAACAGGCAAGAACAGCCTGAGCCTCCTTGGTAACTGTGCACTTAAACCCTGCTTTTTCACAGGCCCTGCAGAATCCATTACACTGGTTATCTTCTTTGGTAAACACTAAAAGTACCTGAATCAAAAAAGTGCGAACACTTTCTTAAAAAAAGTTGTTAGAACGGCAATTTCTTAACATGCCACAGAAAATTCCCAAGTGTTTTCAAGGCAAGTACACAGATGTGAACATAACAATCTGTTGATAGAAATCCTCCTACATGTAACTCAGGGAGATTATCACTCAGCTCCCCCAAATTAGTGCTATTTTATCTGCTCTTGTCTGGAAGTCCAAGTGCATGGGTCATATACTTATTCTTTTGCTATTAAGACCACTGGCAGAACTCAACAAAAGCTTGATTAAGCATTTTATCTTAAAATTATTTCAATTATGACACACAAATACTTATTTTAGTTAACAGTAAGTTAACTAGACAAGTCCTTAGATGGCAAAAACTGAAACTATTTTAGTCAAACTTTTAGAATACTTAAAACTTTATTTTTTAAAAAGATTTTATTTATTTATTTGAGAGAGCGAGAGAGAGAGAGAGAGAGAGCGGGAGCACGAGTGGGGGGCAGAGGCAGAGGGAGAGGCAGAAGCAGACTCCCTCCTGAACAGGGAGCCTGATGTGGGGCTCAATCCCAGGATGCCGAGATCATGACCTGAGCTGAAGGCAGATGCTTAACTGATTGAGCCACAAGCTGCCCCGAATACTTAAAATTTTAAATAATGTATTAAATGTCGAGATTTTCTGTAATTCCTCCAAGTTAAAAGAAATTACTTTGATGATAAGATTTCAAGCAGACCAAAATATAATACCTCATAACCAGCTAGGTAATCCCTCAACCTCCCTTCCCTCTGGAAATCACCAGATTGTTCTCTATAAGTCTGCTCCTGCTTCTGTTGTTGGTGGTGGTTTATTTTTTCGATTCCACATGTAAGTTAAATCATATGGTATTTGTCTTAGGGGAAAGTGATTTTTAAAAGGTAAACTTCCAAGGATGCCTGGATGGCTCAGTGAGTTAAGCATCCAACTCTTGATTTTGGCTGAGGTCATGATCTCAGGGTTGTGAGATCCAGCCCCGCATCGGGCTCCAGCTGGGGTCTACTTAAGATTCTCTCTCTCCCTCTCCCTTTGCCCCTCCCCCAAGTCCCCTGACCCCAGCTCTCAAGTAAGTAAGTAAGTAAGTAAGTAAGTAAGTAAATAAATAAATAAATAAATAAAGGTGAACTTCCAGTCATAAAATATATACGACCCGGGGTTACAAGATATGGCAGGGGGAATATAGTTAACCATATGTAACAACATTATATGGTGACACATGATAGCTAGAGATATAGTGATGGTCACTTCCTAATGTGTATAAATGTTGGATGACTCTGTTGTACACCTGAAACCAATATAATATTGTGGGTCAACTGCATTTCAATAAAAATCAATTAAGAAAGTTCTCATCGATAGCAAATGACAAAATAAAGAACACCGTCAGTTAAGCAACACAGGCACAGCACCAGGCTCACGGGGTGACAGCTGTGCCCCTGGCCCAGGATGATGGCTTGCTGTCCCGGGGCCTGGCCTGGATCAGGTGAGGCCTGCATCTGCTGCCTCTCGCCTCTCCAGCCAGGCACCCCCACCCCCACCCCCGGCCAGGTCTGGGTCAAAAGCGCACCACTCTGTCCCTTCAGACCCAGATGGATTCATGAGGGCAACACTGGTAAGGTGGAGGTGGGCAGCCTGTGAGCAAGACTGCAAAGCTGACGGAGACCCTGTCCCCCAAGGCTTAGCTCTTCTAAGTTTACCCAAGTGCACAACCACCACAGACGCACACTTCTGCCAGTCCTAACAGGAGACATGGTTTATGTGCAGGAAGCTCCAAATAACTTTGGAGCTCAATTTCAAAAGCTTATGTTGTCTAATATTTTGGATTTGATCATTTAAATATTTTGATAGAGCATATTCAGCAACACAGAAAAGACCATGCTTTTGCTTTTTTATACTGGAAAATTTCAAACCTACATAAAAGCTGTGAGTGCAATGAACGTTAGTGGACCCTTCTGTTTTCATCAATTGTTAAGATTTTGCTCCCTTTGCTCTCCCCCTCCCCCCCCAATTATGCACATTCTTTTCTTTATTGCTGAACCTTTCAAAGTAGGGTGCACACACACGTGTGTCCAAGAAAAGTACATTCTCTTGTATAACTAGAGTACTAGTATCAGCTTCAGGAATTTACCATTGATCCAATACTATTATCTAAAATAGAAAACTGTTTTCACTGTTAGGCCCTCTCCCTCCCCCTCTTTAAAGAAAATCAATATGTAAAAATTACAGTATGGCTTATTATTACCTGGAGTTGATCTGGATGAAATCTCATGGGGCCAAACTGCACATCAGCTGCTGCTACCTGTAAGAAAAAGGTATGCTTATATGTTAAGAAAAAAGAAAAAGAAGAAGATAGCAGGAGGGGAAGAATGAAGGGGAGTAAATTGGAGGGGGAGACAAACCATGAGAGACGATGGACTCTGAAAAACAAACTGAGGGTTCTAGAGGGGAGGGCGGTGGGGGGATGGGTTAGCCTGGTGATGGGTATTAAAGAGGGCACGTTCTGCGTGGGGCACTGGGTGTTATGCGCAAACAATGAATCATGGAACACTACATCAAAAACTAATGAGGTAATGTATGGTGATTAACATAACAATAAAAAATTTCAAAAACAGAAAAGAAAAAGGTATGCTTAAATATATATATATATATATTTTAAAGATAAGCTCACTTTAAAATTTCTCTAATCAGTGTCACAGATGAAAGTGAGATTTTTACTCCAGAGAAAAATTACATAAATAGTTATTACACAGAATCCCAGGGATCTCCTTCTAACCCTCGGGAAAGGTGCAGAGTAGGGAGGGAGAAATAAAATGAATCTGACCCTGGCTCTGCTCTTCCTAGCTGTGTATGACGTTAAGTGAATTACTCAACCTTCCTCAGCCGTTTCTCATTTGTTACAAAGATCAAATGAGTTTACAATATAAAGGCCCCCCCCAAACTAGACACTGAATGAACACTGATTCCTTCTGTCTTTTTCCTGATGGACCATGAAAACTTACTTCAAGAATGGCACACACATACTGAAATCTAGCAGTTAGAATCATGCGACATCAGAGCATTTTACAGAGGAGCACAACGTTTATCAATAATTGCTTATCTATTTGAGAACTTAGCACTAAAACGACACAGATAAATACAATGTCATAACCAAATCCCAATGAGTAATAATAATCATAGCACCAATGGAGGGGCTTAGTGTATACTGGGCATCATGCTAATTGCTGAACGTGTGTTATCTTGCTCGATCTTTATAGTAACACAGAGGTTTATGGTTGGAAAACTGGGGTTCCAAGTACCTTGTTTAAGGCCACAGAGTCAGCAAGTGGCAGCTGGGATTTCACTGAAAAGCCAGGGCCACTGGAAGGTTTGGGCAGTCTGTGCACTGCTTAAGGGAGCCCAGGGGAGGAAGAATACAGGACTGAAATACAGCTCTGAGTGATGGATGCTGGCACCGAGCTGCTACTCAGAGAAGAAGACAAATTTCTGCAATTTTCCCAGAACCACTGTATGTACTGAAGGGATCCCCAGGCCTCTGGGTGGTGGTATGATTCCATGGCAAAAAAAATCTGCAGTGGAAGACCTAGATCTATAAGCTTTCCCGCAAGATATTTCCTACCTGACTGCCCACCTCCCATGTCTCCCCTCAAGTAGCAATCTATCCCCTAGTTAACAAATGAAACAAAGCTTGCTCAGTGATGGAGAAAGTCCATATTTATTTCTCACTGCTAGAATCTGATGCCTGCCAACTATGGGACACCAGCCGAGTTTCTTTTCTTTTTTCTCTCTTTTTAAAAGATTTTATTTATTTATTTGAGAGAGAGAGAGAATGAGAGAGAGCACGAGAGGGAAGAGGGTCAGAGGGAGAGGCAGACCCCCCGCCGAGCAGGGAGCCCGATGCGGGACTCGATCCCAGGACTCCAGGATCATGACCTGAGCCGAAGGCAGTCGCTTAACCAACTGAGCCATCCAGGCGCCCACCAGCCTAGTTTCTGATCTGCTTTGTAACAATTTCATCTCTCGAAATCATAAGAATGAGGGCCGCTACTATTCCAGACCTAAGACTGAGGGGGACTCTGTGACAGGGCAGGAGGCTGCGGAGAAGAGACCTCCCCCAGCACTATCTATTCCCCTGCACTGTGTAGCTGCAGGCCAGCCTCATAGCGAGGGGCGCAGCTGATGCCAAAGCCAGCAGTCCTCAGATGATCCAAAGAGGCCAGGAGAGTCTTCAAAGAGAGGTCTGCTCTATACAATCATACGCTCACGGTGCACTCAGAAGGAAAGCAAGAGGGACTAAGAGAAACCAATCTGAACAAAGAGTTTTCTGTCAGTTTTTACAAAGTTTAAAGGAATGAATGAAAGAAAGTACAAGGAAGGATATAGACCGACTGCTTGGAGAATGCAGTGGACCTACTCAGGAGAAAGAAGGAAGAAAATGACAGGAGAAAAGAAAGAGAAGGAAAATCATTTCGCTAACTTTCTACAGCAGGGGGGACAGTTTCATAGGAGAAAGCAGAAAACTCATGAGCAGGAAGCCCGCTGCCACTGCCCAAGATAAGGCAGGAGCGAGGCAGTACTTGGGTCCCCTACGTGAGTGGGGAGCGGTAGCCTCTGACAGAGGATACTCATGAAATTGGCTCTGAAGGGTCAGGTAGACAAAAAAGTCTCAAAGGAGAAAAAGAAATATTTATGACTAGTGTAAAAACATATAATATACTAGGTCACAGAGAAAACTTTAAAAACACATTGCTAAAAGTAAAAATAGTACCATTTTTATTCTTCAACCATAATGCCATCAAACCAGAAATTAAAAACATGAGCTTAAGCAAAATCAACAAACACCGCTGCCCTGAAAAATTTTTAAATATTAACTTGTAATTGCTGGGTCAGAGAGGGAAATGCAAATTATACCTACAGATTACCCGGAAAATAGTAAAAATGAGAATACCATGTAATGAAACTTACGGGATACTGCTAAATTTTACTGAGGGGCAAGATTCACAGCCTTAAATCCTTCTGTCACCAAACAAGAATTAAATACATTTACCAAGCTAAGTCACTAAGTTTGAGAAAGTCAACAGTACAAACTTAAGGAAACCAAGAGGAAAAAAAATAAAGGGTAATAATTAGTAAAATTTAAAAATATAACGACTAGCATGTTTAAAAAAATACATACGTGTGTACACACACACATATATGTATGTAGAGAGCTGATTACAAGCTGAGGGACAAGATAAAAGTATAAACGGCTCAGGGCAAAGCCTTATCCCTCCCAGGAAAATAACTCTGAGCACACGGTCCACACCAAAAGTGGGTGAAATAACTTTCACAGAGAAAGGACAGTATAACTTTATGATCTCAACTTACAAAAATAACTCACCACTGCATTCATTTTAAGAAATAAAAGAAGCTATAGATTTTGTTAAAATTACTAATTTTGCTTCCATATAATTTTAACGATATCATTTTAAAATATTAATGTTTCAGCAACTCTATTTTACCACCAAACACTTACTTTATTTACTTAACTAGATTGCATTTTAACCTTACATCCTGTCTACGGGGTATATCCGGCTCTCAGGACCTCTGTCGAGCAGTGTCCCAGCAGAGCCGGACAACTACTTACCACTGCCCCCCCAAAATAACCACCACCAGGAAATCTGATGACATTACTCAGTGTGCAGACGTCAGCAGTGGGCCCTCAAAGAGTAAACAACTTCCCAACTGCTCTGGAAAAGGGGATCAGAACTATAGAACTCTTACATTCTTCCTTTCTTTGTGTATGAAAATCAGAATCAAACTGACCTAATGTTTCAAGGTCACGGCCCTCTTAATAATTTGTTGTGCACATTAATATTTAAAAGAGAATAGTCCTCTTCAAGCTAAGTTTAGTATCACAGCTTTGATTTAATCTTTCAGCTTCAAAAGCAATTGATATCTTTCGACAATACAGAAACAACACTATGTTCATGGATATTGGTAATTATACAAGTTGTTGAGTTGAGTCTTCTGGATTTTTAGATATGTATTATTAATACTGATTGTTAAAGAGATTGTAAAAAGTCTCTTTGTATTTTAATAAAGTAGTATTTGTAAATATGGCTAACAGAAACATGAAATAAATTATTATTGAAACTTTGACAAACCACGTATCAGATTTCGTTTGCCTAACTGACCTAACATTTAGAAGCGACACTAGAAGGCCAAACGAGGGTTATGAATCTTGATCATGGGTGGGGGTGGGAGAGAAAAGAGATACAGAATACCAATCTACCTAAAACTTCTGTTTCCCCAAACCAACATAGCTTATCCCTTGCCTGCTGTGTTTTTTTTTTCTGTTGCTCTCAGTCATCATTTGCAAAACTCCGTATTTTACTATTTATCTTCTTTACTGTCTGCCTCTCCCACTAGGAATGTAAGTTCTATGAAGACAGGGATTTATATGCTGTATTCATTGGTGTATTTCCAATATCCAAAACAGTCCCTGGCACACGGTGGTCATTTAAGAAATATTTTTGAATCAATGTTTACTCAACAGCTAATCTTTTTTTTTTTTTTTAAAGATTTTACTTATTTATTTGACAGAGAGAGACACAGCGAGAGAGGGAACACAAGCAGGGGGAGTGGCAGAGGGAGAAGGAGGCTTCCCGCTGAGCAGGGAGCCCGATGCGGGGCTCGATCCCAGGACCCTGGGACCATGACTGAGCCGAAGGCCCAACGACCGAGCCACCCAGGCGCCCCTCAACAGCTAATCTTTTTGAATCATTCATTTATCCAGAAATCATACTCATACTAGTCTCTACATACGCATGCATCTGTGATAACAGCACTTCCAGTTTCCAGAATGTTTTTTATATATACTTTATTTCATGAAGGAACATAAAGGAAGGAAAGACTCTTACGGAAGCCTAAGCTCTAGGAGCCACGGAAGAACCCTGTGGTCTATTCTTTTCCTATGTCCCCTTTATTAGAAACAAAGTTACGCTGGCATCAATTGACATTAATTGTACACACCCCTCCTTCTTGGAACTATAGCAAAGTCATAAATCAGATTTTGTCCCGAGCCATACTAACCTTCCAGGTTTTCCCTGTACACCCTTCTCGTCTTTCTCTCCAGACAGAGTGGTAACTTGGTCACAGGGACACAGCTTAGACAAGTCAGGAGACACTAGTTCCTGGGTGGGAAGACTCAAAATCAGTCCAGACTTCAGTGGGCCATTTACTACTATGCTTAAAGCCAAGCACAGAGCTAGGTACTACGAGTGCAGACCAGTGCCTAACCTTGTCCTTGAGTCGCAGGAG